GTCTGTGATCAATTTTTTTCTATAAAACAACTATGATTTCAGCTTACATCAATCTGTCACCTACCTATACATGAAGTTATTTGATTGGAGTCTTTCCCATTTAGTTACATTGCCATCCCCACCACCACTGAATATCAATATAGGGACTTTACGGGCTACAAAGTAGAAATGATACACGATTTAGATTGGGTAACCATACGGCAGATCCAGAAATTACTGAAATATCCCTTCATATCAATTACAATGACTATATAAGTATTTGGTATTTTGGAGCTCCCATACTTCCGAACKTCAAAGAACTGCTTGCAAGACTTCTCTCTCAAAATCAAATGAACTCCAAATATTGAAAAGAACCTGGCTGGAAGCTTACTTTAGAATGTTTTGAGGAAGAATTTCAATTAGCCTCCTCTGAAGACATTCCCTTTTCCAGTTGAGTTTTTTAAAACTCAAAATAAAAATACTCAAAAAAAACATAAAATAAAATAAAATAAAAATAAAAATACTTTTTTTTTTTTCTAAAATACTTTTTAGGTGGATTTTTTTCCTGCAACTTCACTAGTCCTGCTTTCTTGTTGATGTAGTTCACAGGAAGACCATTATTTTTAGATAGGATAGAGATGTATAGGGTAGAGGCTACAATTCAATGAGAGAGCAAAGCACTGTACTATATCTAGCCATTCTGACTTACTGTAAGTAAGAGTTTCCACTGAAAATTTATTCTTTAACGTTGTTACACATCCTGATGAATTATACTTCCAGAATATCAAATGACGCCTTGTATTGGTCCCTTTCAATCAAAATAACAAACCATTAGGAAGGAAACTCAAAAATTGAATAAAACAATATTGAATTAATATATGGCAGAAAAGGAATAGTCCTTYACCAATGACATGTCCAAGATCTGTTAGATACTGAAGTGAAACCAGCGGATACCTAAACAAAAAACATTTCACTCATTATAAAATTATCATTCATAGCTGAAATCTAATATAGAGAAAATATAGGAAAATGCAAAGAAAAATGACTGAGATAAAATGTCACATACCCACTTATTTCTTCACTTTGAAAAGTACCAATGAAGTCAGAGACCTGTTAACACAAAGCAAGCACTATGATGTTAAATGATTTAATCTTAAAGAGCAAGGAAACATCATATTGTGTTTTTAAGGWACCTAAACCTGCTTACATTGTCTCCCGATTTAGGGTCATAGATAGCAGCTTGTGTAGACCCACCAGCAATCCATACTGTCTTGACGGCTCGTACATAACACACAGCAGACACTGCAGTGCTGAACAAAAATGATGATCTCATCTTTAATGTATTTAAATTTCCTTCGTACTTACAGAAAGCACAAAGAAACAATCAATACATTTTTTTAAAAAAACTTTATAATGCATTGCTAAACAATCTTCCCAGCCATTTATATGGGCAGACAAACAAAATGTCATTGTTTATTAACAAAAAGACTTTGCTTATTGTTAAAGGAAGTCTCGGTAATTTTATTATAATTGCATATCTTTGCTGAATTGGTAATGCAKCAATATAAGTGACAGTTTATATGAATTAGTCTGGTTGCCTGCAGTTTTAAGTTTATGAACAGTGTTGCTTTCCAAAGCAAATCAGCAACAATGAACTATGGTATCCATAAAATTGTATAGGACTAAAATAAACACTCTCCTGTACAAGAGCAATGCGCAGCCTAACTTTCCCTGCTATTCACTTCCATGTGCTTCCCCTCCCACCACGTACATAGTTCGTTGGAGTTTTTACATAAATTTTTAATTAGTTCTTTTTTTTCCTGATCATTTTGGTCCATTATTTTATAACTTAATGATGTCTGGATTGAAAAACATACCCAAACCCATCAAACTTGTGTAATGGTTGTCCATCTTGTGACCAAACCTTGACAACTTTATCAAAKCCACCTGTCAAGATCCACGTGTTGTTCTCAGTGTCACGAGCAAGACACAAACAAATAATACCAGCATCGTGAGCCTTGGGAATCCTGTGGCAAACGTAGATAGTGTAAAAACAGGGCTCTTTATCAGTGGTTCTCGATCTGATATATCTATATTTTACCGTTATTTCTACGATTTGTTAGTCTCCTCGCAGCCGTGTTTAGTTTCGGTCACGCGTCACGCAACCTCTTGTGTGGAGAGGTTGTGTGACGCATGACCGAAACTAAACACGGCTGCGAGGAGACTAACGATTTGTATGATGTTATTGAATTGTGAATTTACCACTTGGATTGCAATGAAATCACACAAAACTCTCACATCCTGAGATTGATGTATGCAACAACCCCCTGGCAAAGTCCCAGCTGTTTCAGCTTATATTGTAAGCATTAATATACCATTTATTTTTCTATTAAATAAAATAATATGCTTACTTAGTAACAACTGATAAAATGTTCTTATTGTGATAGGAAAAAGCAGCATCATAGATCACAAGCATTTGATCATACCTGAAAAATACATAAAAAATGGCATTAAATGCAAGTTGCACAAAGTGTGGATAAAGTTAATATCGACCAGGAACCATGCAGTACTTGTATGAATGTTGTGTACATGTGTTTTATCCACTGCAGGATAAAGAAATGCTTTCCACCCTTTTATTGTACAAATGGCTCAAAACCATTGCCAACCAAATTTCATGTAATGGCTACAGGGTTCTGCATTTAGGGCATGTAGCGGTAATGAAGGTAAAATAGGCAACAAAGTGAAACATTATGTTTTTTATTATGACTTTATCAAACTTTTTAAACTTACCCAGCACTATAGACTCTTGCTTCATGACAAGCTATACATTTTACAAGGTCTGTGTGTTCTTTAGAAATGAAGGCTATAAAGCAAGGGTTTTTTTCAGTCTGTCTCAGTTTAACCATTGTGAGGATCAGGATGAAGATGAGAGAAGCATTACATTACTAACCTTTAGGATCTATTACATGGCCAACTTCTCCTGTACAAAAAAATTAAAGCAAATTTTAAACCTTAGAGTTATCACAAAGTATAGCAATGAAACATTTAACTTTAAATATAATATCTATTGTGACCATACGTCCAGCTGTATAAGGATTTCTCTAGACTAGTGGATAGTGTTATGTACTTAACCAGGGTACTTATACTAATAAAAACCCTTAAAAAAGAGAAAATTATACAGATCTTAGATATACCTTGATCTCGTGTATTGAACACTTGGACACTTGAGCCAACAGCTGCCACTATCTGATTACGACGTGTATTCCATGCCATSGAATAAACAGGGTCACCAATCTATTAAAAATATCAGAAGAGCCATAATGTTTGGAAATAACATTATTATTAATAACATATTATGCCACTTACTGGGACTCTATCATGTACTGCTCCACCAGAGCCCCAGGCAATAATGGTACCATCATTCGAACCAGAAAACAATAGTTTGGGTTCACTCCTATTCAATAGAAAGCATAAAATATCTGCAAAAATCTGTTTGGGACATGAAAACAGAAAAACTTCATCGCATGAATTATTGGTGAACAAAAATGTGTTATCTGTTAGTTGAGAATATTACTATTCATTATCTGTGCTCCCACAGACACATTAAAGTTTATAATTATTTGAAAAAGCCCCCCCCTCCTCCCCTAAAAAATGAATTTATTAATAAATAATTATTAAATATGAAATAATATACAATGAAATACCAGAAAAGAAAGCTTGTAACCCATCCATCATGTTCATGGACAGTCCTCAAAAGCTTGCCTGGTTCACTTGCAGAATAGTCCCAAACTTTGATCACACCATCTAATCAAAACATTGGAACTGTCACTTAAACCAATGAAGTTTTGAACTCAATTATTGTTCTATTATACCGATATATAATAACAAATTGATGATTATTTTAATTGGAGTGATATCGTATGATACAAATCTGGTCGTTGTCATAAAAGCTACCAAAATACCTTGAAACCCAATGACTATTTCATGTTTCATCGGATTGTACGTRACAGCAGTTATGGCTTTGTTGTGAGTCTCTTTGATCGTGCACAGCTTTTCCATCGCCATATTGCTGCCAAATTGTTGCAAAGGTATCCTAAASAACCYTGAGAATATYAATAATCCATGTCCTTGCAGAGAAAAAGGAAATGAACAATCAACCARCGTTTCAACTTCGCGCCATCCGCCATGTTGAAAGTTATAGGTTACTATGGATACAAAAGTACCCCACTCTACCCCTGTTAGTCTTTTCAGCTAACAAAAATTTTTCGAATTTCTTTTACGAAATTTCTACGCAACCAATCCTACATCTAAATAAACAAGACAAAAGACAGGCAAACAAAAACTAAAACCCTTGATCCTTAATACGTTAGTACGCTGGAGAAATAAAAAGTGCAGAACACCGTCCCGTACTAGCGTAATAAGGGACAGGAGAAATAAAAAGGGCAGAACACCGTCCCGTACTAGCGTACTAAGGGACAATGGAAATAAAAAGTGAAGAACACCGGTCCGTACTAGCGTACAAAGGTACAAGGGAAATAATAAGTGCAGCACACCTGCCCCGTAGTACGCTAGTACGGGACGGTGTTCTGCACTTTTTATTTCTCCTGTCCCTTAGTACGTACGCTAGTACGGGACCGGTGTGCTGCACTTTTTATTTCTCCTGTCCCTTAGTACACTAGTACGCTAGTACGGACCGGTGTTCTGCACTTTTTATTTCTCCTGTCCCTTAGTACGCTAGTACGGGACGGTGTTCTGCACTTTTTATTTCTCCTGTCCTTTAGTACGCTAGTGCCTACCAAAGTCCATCCCTACGTCCTCGTCGTGGTAGGTGGAAACGGCTAACACCGGCTAACAGGGCTCTGGCAGTGTGCTTGGGGCCAGCAACCCCATCACACTTACTTATTGCTACGGAA